TATTGGTGTGTCATCGACGTGAATTCCCAGCGGTAGCCTGACCTCCTTCGTCTAGGTTGTGAACAGGGTCGCAGAGGATTTCGTAGGGGAGAGGGCTAGACACTTTGCAGTGAAGAAGCGAGAAAGTTCGGAGAGATACCCGTTTACTTTCGAACACAGGTCATCAATTCCATTCCCAGTCGCCATGATGGAGCTTTGAAATGTAAAAGTTAAACAGTAGCGGGGAAAGGACACCACCCTGTGGAACCCCCTGTTTTATTTTTCTGAGTTTACTCGATTTGTCTCTAAACATTACCGACGAGTGTCGACCACTCAGATAATTTTCCGCCCACCGTTTGAGCCTCTGTGGGAGAGAAGAGGCCTCTATATCTTCTCGTAGCGTGGAATGACAGACGGTGTCAAACGCCTTTGACAAGTCCAACGCTACTAGAATCGTTCTCTCACAGGGACGGTTTCGGTTAAGGCCACGAGTTATCTGAGTGTTTATGGCGTTAAGTGCTGTTGTTGTACTGTGCACTTTACGGAAACCATGCTGATGCTTCGCTGGGGTCAAGTGGTTTGTGAAATACGGGAGTAGCAAGGCCTCGAGTGTCTTCGCTACCGGGGAAAGGAGTGTTATCGGACGATAAGAATCTCCTATGTTGGCAGGTTTCCCCGGTTTGAGCAGTGGGACCACTCGCCCCACCTTCCAGATGTCTGGGATGATGAGAGTGGCCATAGACAAATTGAGGACCTCCGTTAGGTACGCTACCCCCGCAGGACCCAAATTTTTCAGCATCAGCATGCATATTCCGTCGGGACCCATGGCTTTGGAGGCTTTCGCCTTCCCGATGGCCACCTGAACTTCACCGCAAGTGAAAGCAAGGGGGGCACAGGTTGTTGGCAGTTTGTGCAGCCTTCTGGTCACTCGACGCTTGGCTTTGTCCACCGGAGGATGCAGTATTAACTGCCGGCTAAAATAGCTCGCGCATCGCTCCGGGTCCGACGAAGCATGGTCGCCGAAGGAAATTTCGACTCTGTCGTCGTGCTTCGTCGGATTGGACAGTGACCTCACGGCTCCTCCCACTTCTTCCGCTTATGTGCGTTTACTAGTTGCCGAAGCTCCGCGTTGAGATCCCTGATACGGGGATCTCCGGGATCGGCCTGACGAAGGCTATCACGCTCATCGGCTAGAACAGCCGCTTCGGCAGGGAAGTTTGGACGTGGGTCCGTTATACATCCTGTCGGTATGAAGCGAGCTGCAGCAGCAGTGACAGCCCTGCGGAACTTACGTTCACCGAGATGGACGTCGGTTGGTGTGGGAAGCGCTGTGAAGGTGTTTTCAGTAAACTCCGCGTAACCTTTCCAATCAGCTTTAGAAAAGTTGATATAGGTCCGGTGTTTGGCGGAGGGTAGGTGGTCTGATGCTAAAGTCAGCATAGGTCGCCATGTTATGCTGTTTATCAGACCAGCGCTGACTATGGGTATGTCTGGCGAGCTGCTGCAGTTACCCATAATTCTGGTGAGTGCGTCGTCGTTCATTGTGCAGAATGTCGAATCGTCTATCTGCTCAGCCAAGTCTGTTCCCATACGATCGTTTGACAAGCTTGAGTGCCAAAGATCGTGGTGCGCATTAAAGTCACCTACTACCATACGGTTTTCACCTCTGAGGAGCGCACCTATATCAGGGTGATATCCTGCCGGGCAGCAGGTGACAGGGGGTATGTATATGCTAAATATTTCGAGCTCAACATCGCCTGACCGGATAGCAATGCCCTGACATTCTAGGGTGGTATCCCTGCGGTCGATGTCTGCTTCGATAAGACGATACTGCACGGTGTGGTGCGCGATGAACGCTAAGCCACCACCATTATCTCGCTCGCGATCTCGACGGTGCACATTGTACCCGGCACAATTCAACAAAGTTAAATTGCTGTGCAACTTCGTCTCTTGGACCGCAGCTATCAATATACCATGCCGACACATGAAGATGGTTATCTCCTCAATCTTTCTCTGTAGCCCGTTGCAGTTAAATTGAAGGAGCTTCATGTGGTTCGGGAGAGGTGTCGTGATGTGAGATGTAAGGGATGTGTGTGTTCTTACCGCCGTTGGCTGTGTGCGCTGCTGTGATGGTTGCCGCCCTGTGGTGGTGGCGGGAGGCGTCGCAGTTGAGGTCTGCGACCGAGCAGCGCAACACGGGCCCTCGAAGTTCCCAGTCCAATCTCGCGTGGTACGCAGACCTGAGCATGCCCTAAAGTGGCACCAGCCAAGGCAGGTGTTGCACTTGACTGATGTCGCATTACGGAATATCCTGGTCTGACATACTGTGCAGATTGTAGGAGGAACCACGAGTTGTTGGCGGCGGCGTGTGGGTAGTGTGAGTTATGTGGTCTGTCGTGGCTGTGGTATGGTCTGTGGTGTTATTATGTTGTTGTGCTGTGGTGACTGTGTGAGGCTGCTCAGGTGGACTGAGGTTAGCCGTGGAGGCTGCTCTTTTTGAGCAACAGGGGACCACGTACGACGTGGTCCACTGTCGATGTGTCCGTAGTCCTGAGCAGACTCTAAGGTGACTCCACCCCTCGCAGGCATTACACTTGACTGAGGTGGAGTTGTGGTGTAGTCGTCTCTGGCATACACAGCAGGTGTAGATTTCTGGCCCTGGGTTTGACTCGATGCCAGCCCTGAGTAGAAGAATACGTAGTGAATGTAGCCCTATGGACGAGCAACTACCGAGATACTTCGCCGACCTAAACGGGGTTAGATCGCCGAAACAACAGCCCTTGGTCGGGTAAAACCCGAATCATTCCGGTACGTAGAACCGGCTGTCGTGGGAATGTTCTGAGCATAGGTTATAAGGTCTTTTCGAGTGTATGTGCGAAAGACTGAAGCCTGCCGTCAACGAACTGATTGGACTTTATCAGTGTGGCTTAAGGCCTGGAAAATCCACCATAGATCAGGTATTCACAATACGCCAAATCTTGGAAAAGACCCGCGAGAATAGGATCGACACACACCAGCTATTTGTCGATTTCAAAGCCGCACGACAGCACGAAGAGAAGTTGCCTTTATGCCGCGATGTCTGAATTTGGTATCCCCGCGAAACTAATACGGCTGTGTAAAATGACGTTGAGCAATACCACCAGAATAGGGAAGGACCTCTCCGAGCCGTTTGATACCAAACGAGGTTTCAGACAATGGGACTCCCTTTCGTGTGATTTCTTTAATCTGATGTTTCGAAAAGATAATCAGAGCCGCAGAACTGAACCGCTCAGGCACAATACTTTACAAGAGCGTACGATTGCTGGCGTATGCCGACGACATCGATATTATCGGTAAAAACAAGGGCTACGTCTTTTCTGCCTTCTCGGGAATTGAGAAGTTAAGTCCTCTCTCGTCGTACAAAGATCACACTCTTTTAAGTCACTCATCATGCCTGTGCTGGTGTATGGCGCGGAGGCATGGACAATGAAAGCATCTGATGAGGCGGCTCTTAGAGTTTTCAAGAGAAAGATTCTGCGAAAGATTTACGGACCTTTATGCGTTGGTGATGGCGAATATCGCAGATGATTTAACGATGAGCTGTATGAGCTTTACAACGATATAGTGCATAGTGCAGCGAAATAAAATTCAGCGGCTCCGCTGGCTTGGCCATGTCGTTCGAATGGACAGAAACGCTCCTGCTCTGAAGATATTAAACGCGGGCCGCGATGCTGGTAACAGAGGAAGAGGAAGGCCTTCTCTGCGTTGGAAAGACCAGGTGGAGAAGGACTTGGCTTCACTTGGCATTGCCAATTGGCGTCAGTTAGCACAGAAGAGAAATGACTGGCGTGCTGCTTTGGACTCGGCCAAAATCGCTTAGGCGGTTACAGCGCCAACAAAAAAGAAGAGATTGTAATTTCACTTCAATTTAAAAATTTTGAGCAGCGCTGTATTAGATCATCTAAAATAAAGAAGACTTAGGGCCTTATTCTGTATCACGAACGATAGGCAAAACGAACGATTCGTCTGCAGACGACAACCTCTTTGATTGCGATTTTAAACTCTATCGGTCGTCTTTGTCTTGCTTTTCATACATTACGTTGCAATGGTCTCGGTTGCGTTTAAGCCGGCTAAAATGATGCCGCCGGACTAACTTTTGAAGCATTCCTCTGCAGACGAATCGTTCGTGTTGCCTATCGTTGGTGATACAGAATAAGGCTATTAAATGCTTTATAAATCGAAATTTTTTATGAATATGTTACTTTATTCAGCTTTTTGAAGATATTTAATTTATTATGAATAAGGCCATTTAACTTTGTCCAATATTTTGTTTCTGACGTTTAGAAAAATATTTATAAAAAGAAATTCAATTTTCTTTAAGGAAATACATTTAGTTGCCTAATGGCCAAGCCTACCACCATTAAGGATGCACTCCGTATTTGGGAGGAAAATAACGGCAAGAATCCCATTACCGTGACCGATATTGGATTACAGTTTCAGTATCCACCAATCGAAAAAATGGATAGCACTCTTAACACCCTTGTCAACTGCGGAAAGCTTAGCCTTTCTTCAAATATGATCGAAAAGATAACTGGTATTAATCAGCTTAAAAATCTTCGGATACTTTCATTGGCAAGAAACAACTTGAAAAGTATTAATGGTATTGTAAGTGACTAAAAGAAAAAAATGGTTTCTGCATAATGATTATAATGCTAATAGGAAGCACTGGGAGAAACACTGGAAGAGTTGTGGGTTAGTTATAATATCATTGAAAAAAATTAAACCCATAGAATCGATGAAAACGTTGCGCGTGTTTTACATCTCCCATAACCTCATCAAAGATTGGACAGAGTTCAATCGCATGGCTGCAGCACCAAAGTTGGAAGAAATTTCTTTTCTTGGAAATATTCTCAACGAAAACATGGATGAATTGGTCTTTCGAAGTGAAGCTATCCGTCGCTTGCCCTTGCTCAAAAAACTTGATGGTGATACTGTCATACGAGGCGATTAATGGAAAAATATGTACATCAACTACTCCTGTATGCGATTTAATATTTTTATATTTTGCAATAATATATCTAGGAAAAAATCAATAGCTTCATCTATACATACAATATGTAGGTGTATAGGGCTTAAATTTACAAACGACACATATTAATATCCGACCAGCAAACAGATTCAAACATTAGCTATCCCTAATTTTATTCACCAAAAATCTCTAAAAGTATAGCAGGCGCGTCTAACAATATGCAACATTTAGTTACAAGATTTTACTGATTACACACCGCATGTTATTTTTCCATGTTATATACATTTAAGTCCCAATGCTTTTCATTCAGACAAATTTGGCGACGAAAATTTAGCGTAGCGATTGTGGGAATTCTACTGCGGGGCGTGCGTTTGGGAATACTTTATTCTACTTAAACAGGCTGTCCTTTCCATTACTACCGATTTAGATGAGGTCACGCTAGAAGCTGGTGTGTCTTTATCTACTGCCGGATACGTATCAATATTTACGTCAGTTACATTTTTTAGACGCTGTAACATGTTGAACGAGACAAGATCTAATTTTAAATGTTGTACACTAAGCGCACTTCCGTCCCAGTCTATTAGCGATTTAAACTTTAAAGGGTCGCAGAGATTCAGTAGTTCTGTTAAAAAGTAGAGTTGCAAAAATAATTTTATACATATTTTTGAAAACTAACCCATCCCTCCGCTTTGGTATTCATTGCGTTCTTTTTCTAGGGTTATTCTGATGACACCTTCTCGAGCTGCATGTTGTTTGGAACGATTCTTGCTAATCGAATGCTTTAGTGCAATTTGTGCAAGTTCTCCGTCGAAACGTCTTAGATACAAAGCCATAAGATCTTCAAATTCCTGGGGCGTAAGTGGATCGGAACGGCCTTCCTCAATATGCTCCAAGAACCAACTGAGCTTCTCTCCCATTATATTGCTTTTGATTGCATGACCTAATCGCGTTTTGTGTTTGTTATTTTGCCGACGTGCTTTTTTACTTAAGGCCTTTGTTTTCCGACTATTTGGATGTTTACACTTCTCGAGTTCTTTGCGAAGATTAGTCTAGTAAAAGATAACTTCCTATTAAGTACTCAAATTGGGTTGACTTCGCGAGAGTGCACCACGCTTGGAACAAAATGACTTTATGGGGGGTGTAGAGGGGGTCGTACACATCACAAAACTGAAAACGGGACGGCGAGGAAACTCATAGTTTACGAGTAATTTGTTATTAAAGTTGCAAATTGTTATTTTATTATGAGTTTAATAGCTATTATGACTACTATCAGCCTATAGTTTTCTTAAAACTCTTTCGTTTGGCACTAATATTTCGATATTTCATTTATGTATCTTTCGTATGAGTAAAACAAATTCGACTTTTCAAACAGGTCGCAACCCCTTTAAAAGTATTTTCAGAAAAAATTTAAGCCTGGCATTGTTATATATATTTCAATTAACTGATGAATTAATTTGAATTAATTTTTTTTTAAGCACTTGGCAACTCTCATAAATACAGCTTAGAAGTAAATATAAAAAATAAAATAAATATATACAGTATCGGTCATATCTATAGCACGCCATTTCAAAGTGATATTGTGTGCCGCTTATGTTTATTTATTTATTTTTAAGAATTTTCAATTAAAATACAGTTCATTCTCAGACACACCCCATTTAAACCCAAGTGTAACAATTTGTAGAAAACTACAAAATAGTGCAACAAATTTTCACCTAAATTTCAAACTTTTTTCTCGGAAGTGTAAGAATTTTTTTGAGTACACAGTTTTTTAGCCCCTTCAATTTTAGTCTAATATGTGCAAGTTTCAAGCGGCTAAAAGTTACCGTTGAATTTTTAGAATCTTTTTCGCCAAAGGTGTTGCGGATTTCTTCCATATACAAATAAATTGAGTTTATTCATTATATGGAAGCCAATGCGACAAAAAAAATTCTAAAAAATAAACGGTAATTCGTAGCCACTTCAAATTTGCACATTATCAGACTAAAATTGAAGGGACTAAAAAACTGTGTACACAAAAAAATTCTAACACTTCCGAGAAAAAAGTTTGAAATTTATGTGAAAATTTTTACTTTTTTGTAGCTTTCTACATATTATTAAGCTTGGGTTTCTATCGGGTTTGTCTGAGAATGAACTATATTTTAATTGAAAATTCTTAAAAATTAATAAATAAACATAAGTGGCACACAATATCACTTTGAAATGGCGTGCTATAGATATGACCGATACTGTAAATATGTATATCAAATAAAAGGTTTTTCTATTATCTTTCAAACCATATTAACATTTCGGTGCAATAAATTTCAAAATATAAGCTTTTGAAAATACTGAAAATTCCACCTTTACCCCCTCTAGCGGGAAATCTTTAGCTATTTGTACAACGATTTAGGGGTGGGGGGCGGAGGGGGGGGGGGTGTGGCTCCCCAAACCCCCCCTAAACGAAGGAGGATGAACGCCGCTTTATGAAAAGTCACCCCTCACCCCCCCCCCCCCCTAAAAACCCCTTGGGAGCTGTTTGAAAATAGGGAATTTTAGATTTTTTGCAAGGAAAAACCTTGGGAAAGGATGAGGTAACTAGCATTCCCTTTCTGTGTGATAAACCTGGGGCTGTCTTATCTTGTATATAAACATGTATATACAAATTTATAACAAAAATTTGCAACAAATACCATATTTCCAACCGACATTATTGTTAAATTAGTGCACAGATTTAGTAAATTAAATTTTTGTAATAAAGCGTGAACTGTTGTCTACAAGTGTGTGTAAAAGTTTTTTGATTCGATTCACGCGTTTGGGCACAGCAACCCAAAATCGTTGTACAAATTCGTAAAGCGTACCCCCTCTAGCTCCTCCCCTATTAATTTCCAGCAAAAATGGTTACTTTCCAATTCAGTAAAAAGGGGCGGACCACGCCCTCTTTTTCATTTTCTTTCCTCAACTCAACTTGTTCCTTAAAAGTGCTTACATTTAAGTCACATTTATCTATTTCACGCAATTTCGGATAATAAAATCGATGCAATTTGCATCAGCATATTTGGTGAATTTCGCAGCTTAGCAAAAAATTACTTAAAAACTATAAGTGGGCGCGGGTTGGGGTCTTCACTTTTAGAATCAAAGTATTCCCCCCCTAGACGCCTAAATTTTTTTTTTCGGGTTTTTTCACTAAAATTTTCCCAATATTCTTACGCTGCACACATCAAACTCATAATTGCTATTAAACTCATAATAAAATAGTGCTTATCTTATTTGCCTTTATAATAAGGGTATTCATCAAACCTTATAAATGCATTGTAAACCGTATAAACTTATAATTGTGTAAACCTTATAAATGAACTGTCAAAATTTGTATGGAAACTCGTTTACACATTTCTGATATGGGGTGTTCACAGTTCGTTCCAAATTATGTCTGAAAATGTAGACGTCTACATTTTGAGACATCTTTAGCATCAAACTGTGAGCACCCCTTTCTAGCAGTCGTCGCAAAATCGTCTCAAAACTTTGCTGGTGTTGCCAGACATTTCCCCTTTTCGTACATTTTTTATATATCGCCTTTCGATTTTGTTTCTGAAAAATTTTAATTATTTAACTTAATTACCAATTCCTACTATTTGTTATTTCGGGAAATGTTTAGCTATTTGTACAACGATTTAGGGGTGGGGGCGGAGGAGGAGGTGTTGTGGGGCCCACAAATCCCCCCTAAACGAAAGAGGATTGACGCCGCTACCGCCCCAGTGATGTAACCTTGGGAAAGGATGAGGTAACTAGAATTCCCTTTCTGTGTGGTAAACCTGGGGCTGCCGCCCCAGTGATGTCTATTTTGGTGTTTTATAAAAATATCTTGTATATAAAAATGTATATACAAATTTATAAGAAAAATTTGCAACAAATACCACATTTCCAACCGACATTATTGTTAAATTAGTGCACAGATTTGGTAAATTAAATTTTTGTAATAGAGCGTGAACTCTTGTCTACAAGTGTGTGTAAAAGTTTTTTGAATCGATTCACGCGTTTGGGCTCAGCAACCCAAAATCGTTGTACAAATTCATAAACAGTGCCCGTTATTTCTTTTCCTTGATTTGTTTCTTTTCATCAGAAATTGTGTGGTGTTGTTGTTTCCCATACAAAATTGGAAAACGACGCCGTCTACATTTTGTCACACTCAAAGGTATGTTTTTTACGCGTCTACATTTTGCAACCTCGCAGCAGGGTTGCATTATGGCAATACTAATCGCATTTTTTTTATTTATTGGGCACGTTTTCTGTATTTGCATTTAATTTGAGCGCAATTTCTGATGAAAAGAAACAAATCAAGGAAAAGAAATAACAAATATTAGGAATTGGTAATTAAGTTAAATAATTACAATTTTTCAGAAACAAAATCGAAAGGCGACATATAAAACGGCACGCAAAGAAGAAATGTCTGGCCACACCAGCAAAGTTTTGAGACGATTTTGCGACGACTGCTAGAAAGGGGTGCTCACAGTTTGATGCTAAAGATGTCTCAAAATGTAGACGTCTACATTTTCAGACACAATTTGGAACGAACTGTGAACACCCCAATAAATTTATCCAGCGATTTCACTGAATAAACTTGATAAACTGAAGACAATGCAACTCTGTCGCAACTCTAGCTGTTTTCTTAGGCAATAATCGGGATCCGCATACAAATTTTGCACGCAAATTCAACGATATGATCCTGATAGAGATCTGGTTCAATTATTATCCCGTCTGTTTGTTTTGTTTCACTGATAATTCGCAGTTTGGTAGCCGTGACAAATGAATTCATACACAAACAGACATTCTGCCATTGTTTCTTATAACTTGCTTCAAATAAATAGCCTTTATGTTATATGTACATTTATTTAAATAGATATATCGTAAATATAATTTTTTCCAATTTAGTGAGGTAGTTTCTATAATTTCTTTATCCCCGTGCTAGTGGTATAAAGTTAGTGACACTGCGCTTTATAACCAGAGAAAACACGACTATTGTCGCATGTGTAAACGAAAAGAGAGTGTGGGTAGTTCATGTAACAGAGTGCATAAACTTATAAGATTATCTGCTTGATAAAGTTATCGGTTTAGATGAATACCACTAATGTTCTTACGCTTTGAACATCTTGCAACACATTTTGAAACGTTATCTGGCAACACGTTACTCACACGTGCGGCTATCTTCGTTTCGGTCATTGTCCATACATACATACTATTTCGGTTGTCTAATGGAAAATAAACAAATTTATAAACGTGTTCCTCATCGTTAAACAATGGAATTAATGAAATATCAAATAGATAAACGTTCAAAGAGCTTAATTTAGTTGAAATGTGTGTGTTGTGCACACTTGTATTTGTTTGAAATGGTTTGTTATCGTACATTTTGTTAGGCGAAATTTTCAACTTTAGCAACAAATTACTCGTAAACTGAGTTTCCTCGCCGTCTGGTTTTCAGTTTTTTGATGTGTACGACCCCTCTACACCCCCAAAAAAGTAATTTTGTTCTAGGCTTGGTGCACCCTCGCGAATTTTCCGCCTCAAATTGTAAATATATACAAATTATTAAGTTACCATTTTTCTAGAACTTCTTCACACGAATTTCGATATGATACGATTAGGAATGCAGAAAATATATCGATGCAGCGGAAACATCGATTTTGCTGTTCGATGATCGAATAAAACCCATGGTGGCATAATAGGCCATATCCAAGAACATATCAATAGTCGTATTTAGTACTCAACTAATGGGCTGTTTTTGCTTACGCGTAAAAGCACATTTAGCGCATTTAGCTCTAAATGCTACTCTAAATGTACATTTATCCATACAAAATTCGTCACCTAAATGCAACTAAATGCAACTCCATTTTTGCATTTAGAATCTAAATGCTAAAAGCATCCCTGTGATCTTCCAAAATTTCCACGATTCGAACATGGTTTAATGAGAAGAAGTGGCAACATTGCTTTTTCGAGTATACAGTCGCTAGCTGCGTTTCAGTGATCGCCGATCGAGACTTCATTTATTATTTTACATTATTTGGATAAAGAAAAGTTACGCAAAATAAACATCGATATGATGCTGATAGAAATCTGGATTAATTTGTGATCAACTCTGTTTGTTTTGTTTCCTAATTAAGTGTGAAAATTATAATTGACAGCACCGACAAATGAATATATACACAAACAAATGTTTGGTTATGGTTAAAATAGTTCAAGCTTTTGTATTGAATTTTCGGTTTAGAATTTATTTTTTCCTTTTCAGTAGGGATTTTTGGACATTATCTTTTCCGTGAGAATTTATCGTAATAGATACGGATCTGAATAAGCGACTGGAACACGGCTGTTTGTCAAAAGCATACGATTTCGAACTCGCGTAAATGTACATTTGCTAAATGCGATAGCATGAACGCTCTTCGAAAACATATGTTCGAAAGTGCTAAATGTTGCATTTTAAATGCAGCAAAAACGCTGCATTATGCACACAGAGTTGATCACAAATTAATCCAGATTTCTATCAGCATCATATCGATGTTTAATTTGCGTAACTTTTCTTTATCCAAATAATGTAAAATAATAAATGAAATCTCGATCGGCGATCACTGAAACGAAGCTAGCGACTGTATACTCGAAAAAGCAATGTTGCCACTTCTTCTCATTAAACCATGTTCGAATCGTGGAAATTTTGGAAGATCACAGGGTTGCTTTTAGCATTTAGATTCTAAATGCAAAAATGGAGTTGCATTTAGTTGCATTTAGGTGACCAATTTTGTATGGATAAATATACATTTAGAGTAGCATTTAGAGCTAAATGGCTAAATGTGCTTTTACGCGTAAGCAAAAACAGCCCATAAGGGCCGGTTACTCAATGTCTGGTTAACACTAATCTGCGGTTAAACATCGTTATCGTCGTCTACGACTCCATGCATACAACAGGAATGCGTATTACAATTCGAATAAAGCTACATCACAATTTTATGATTGGAATAATTTAGATACATTCTCAAATAATAAGTAAGTTTGACGCTAGTTCTTTTAAAGTAAATTTGTGCATAACATTTAGATATCTACTATTTGTATGTTTCACAGCATGCTTTCGATAAACATCGACTTCACATCATTGCGGTTGTTCTGGCTATTTCACACAATTAACAAGAAAATTATTATTCTTTTGCATAATCATGCAATGAAAATAAAAATTACATAAGCGGATGATCAAACTTGACATTATTTAATAAAAATGTAATTTTTCCAAAATATCGTAAAGAAAAATCAATACATCATCGACGCTCCACTGGAAAGGGGACAGTCCCTGCTTTCTAAAAAGGCGTAGCCCCCCTTGGGCTCCTTCCACAGGCCCCTAAGGAACCGTTTGAAAAAGGGCGAAAAACGGAATTTTCTTAGGCAAACTGAGCAGTTAGTGGAATATGACCCTACTAACAGAAGCCGTGGGATTTTTTAATAAAAGAAATTATGCCAAATTAGATATCGGGTGATTTTGAATAAAGAATAAAAAAGTTAATTAGAAATAGAAAAAACAAGTTTTTATAAAAAAAAATTATTTTTTAACAGATGTATTTTTGCGTAGAATTCCTTTCTGCGTAGGCGGCCTTCGGCCGCACTTAAGGATTATAACCCTCAGACAGTAGAATTCTCCGTTCTGTGTTGCCAAAGAAGGGGGGCTGAACACCTTTTGCAGAGAACACCTTTCTGCGTAGGCGGCCTTCGGCCGCACCTGCTGAACACCTTTTGCAGAGAACCCCTTTGTATATCTTTAATGCTTACTGGGTTATATCCTATCTTCTTTTGTCTCTCATTCTTTTGCATATTTTGGAGTTTGACAGCTGAACTCCGCCATTTAATTTGCATATGCAACCAAAGTCAGACGCTTGATTTTGAAGGTGCTTTTATTTAATGAATTGTGATTAATTGGTTAATATTAAAGTCGTAAAGCAAGTTATAACTAATCGAGTAAAGTGTAAAGTGAAGGGGAATACAAAAATGTATTGGCTGCTTTAAGGAGAATAGGAGTGATAAATGTACGCTAATTTCCGAATTTTACAAAAAAGGGCATATTTCAAACCCAATTTGTAAATAAATTAGTGACCAAAATTTACAAAAGTGAGTGTTAAAATAATTTGTCGCTTCTACCAAACTTTGCGGCCAAATTATCAGTGAAACAAAACAAACAGAAGGGATAATAATTGAACCAGATCTCTATCAGGATTATATCGTTGTAGTTGAATTTGCGTGCAAAATTTGTATGCTGATCTCGATTATTGCCCAAAAAAAAAACATAGCTAGAGTTGTCACAGAGTTGCATTGGCTTCAGTTTATTAAGTTTATTCAGTGAAATCGCTGGAGAAATTTCTCAGAAATAGTTGCGTTCCAGATGCTTCACGATTTGCAGGTTTTTACAGGAAGTCGTTCCAGGTGACCACCTCCCATAAGGTTTATTAATGGAGAAAACAGCTGTTCCTGCAAATCGTGAATTTCGTGAATATCGTGAAGCATCTGGAACGCAACTAAAGTGTAAACGAGTTTCCATACAAATTTTACCAGTTCATTTATAAGGTTTACACAATTATAAGTTTATACGGTTTACAATGCATTTATAAGGTTTGATGAATACCCTTAATGTCTTCTTTTTCAGTGTTTTTGTTGCACGGACAACCGCTTTTCTACCTCCAAGTTTGACCAAGTGAGCCACATTGACTCCAGTACGTTTGTCGCGAGCACATCCATCTGGCCGAAGAAATGTGGCTGCGGACGGGAAAATTTTGGTTTGGCATCCCCGCGTACAAAAAAAGGTGGTTATGGGGGGGCGGGCGGTAAGGGGAGTTCTCCTGATTGCAAATATATATACTTTTAGCCTACGGAGGCTTATAGCTTTTAAGTTATTTGTTGTTAAAGTTTGTAAATTGAGCTAACCTCTCGGTGCTATTTCACACAATAAACACTATTAGGGTATTTTTAAGGTGTGCTATTTGTCGTATTTGTGCTATCTGTTATTGTTTTAGCACACCTGTATTAAAATTGTTGTTGTTTCGTAAAGGAATATGGAATAGCACAATACAGCTGCGAATCCTATGTATGCGGAATATTATGTTTTGCTATTTCAACGTGATATTCGACCAGCTCTTTTTGTTTACATTTTTCTTCTTACCTTTGGCGCCAAAATAAATTAAAAGTTGACAAAATCTGAAATGGAGATAAATTTGAATAATCAGTTAAGTTGTTATAGAATTAACGCAAACTATTGTTGGTTTGTTCAGGTTTAGATTCGAACTCAGAAAGATTTAAATGGATTTGTTTAATAAATAATTAAAGAAACCAACGGCGAAAGCATTCCACACGCTTCTTGGAGGAGTCTCTAAAGGCATTAGACTGGAAATGAGTACGATCCAAGGTGAGGAACATGCGTGTGAACTACAACACCGCTAAGCAATGGGAGGGCTCCACTGGTGCGGGTAGTATGGATGGAGACACTATTAAAAGTAAAGTTTTGATGTTTATTGAATTCTCAGTCTGACTATGAAAACTAAAATTCTAAATTTCTTAGGCCCTTTAACAAAAATGTTTAGTTTTTATGAATTTGATGACAAATTCGGAAGCACACTACAGGTGCTGTCCATAATTGAGGAAACTCTACATAGCGAGGTAGAGAACTTTGATATTTTAAATATTGAGTATCTACCTGACACACAGGATCCTATGAGCAACTTAAGTCCAGATATCCAGTACCTTCCTGACGCTCAGGATCCGATGAGCATTTCAAAGCCGATTAGCAATTCTTCAGTGGTAAATGAAAGTCTGTCAGAGGTAAAATGTACTCCAAGCACAAGCCGTAGAGGCATTTATAGCATAACTGCACTTTCTGATATAATGAAAGAAAAGTTGCAAATAATGGAGTTGGAAATGAAAGAGCGTCTAGCTAGGGTAGAATTACACTTAAAATACGAAACTTAATTTGCTTTTGTTTATTCAAAAAATTGATTTTGAATTACGATTTTTTCTACCTATTTTCCTTATAAAATATACACAAGTGTCTCATTTTAAAAATAACATTTTCTAGTCTGGAAAAAGAACTGAATAGAATAAAAGGCATTCTAATATATCTACACCTATGAGCGAGATAATAGCAGTGGGACATTTTGACCAGTATATTATCATTAGTAGTTTAACTATTTTTCTTTCAATTGATTAATGTTGCCAGCCAAAGTATCACCACTCTGCAAGTAGTCAAAAATAGCACCGGTAGCGCCTGCCGTAGTACTCCGGACGAGCAACCAACAACCAGCAAATCGGCGGCCGTTGCAGGCAGCAATCCCGCCTCAAAGAAAAGGAAATCCTCGGGCGTGGTCATGAGACAGATGTACCAGAAGGCGCTAAATATGTTAAATAAAATTGACAAAAATGCCGCGGCTGGTACGGTTCATGAGCGTGACGAGGAAGACAAGGCAAAATACATGCAAATAGTGGAAGAGTATGAAAAGTTACAGACAGATCGTGCAGCCACAATCGAGGCCACCGAAGCAAAGAAACGGAACCGCTCTCATAATGAAGGCGGCCAAGGGGCCATTACAAAGAAGGCTAAGCAAGGAGGTGATGCGGAGTCCGCAGCACCCGCGAAGCATCGCTGTTTTAGTGACGTCGCCAGAGATCACCTACAGGCGGCGATAATAGATGAAAATAGCAAGACACCGCTGGCAGTGCAGCAGAAATGGGTGGAGATTGATGTGAGGCTGTCGAGCCTCGTAATGAACTACGTACTCGACAACCCCGAAGGTCCTCACCCAGAGTTCGACTCGTCGGAATCCCTACGGGGATACCGGGTAGTCAAGTGCGCGAGCCAGTTCTCCCTGGATTTCCTTGCTGGATGCGTCGCTAAGATCAGCGACACTTTTGTCGGCTTGAAGCTCAAGCTGATCCCAGCTAAGGACATTCCAAGGAGACCACGTGCGCGCATTTGGCTGCCTCCGATGGATGAACCAGGCGAAAATTTGCTGCGGTGTCTTAAGCTGCATAATAAAGACATACCGGCGATCGAGGAATGGGAGCTTATAAAGGTTGAAGAGCCAAGAAGGCCTACAAATAAGCCCATTCTGCTAGCTATTTGCGCAGAATCACTAGCCGCCTTAGAGAAGGCTGACTATCGGCTCTGCTTCGGTATCCATAAGGCTAGAGTGCGGGTATTCCTCGGAGAGGTTAGCCCGGTAGACGAAGATCCCGGGGTTGATGGAGCAGGTGAGCTTCTCATGGGTGTGAAGCTGACAGATGACCCTGAACCGGAAACTTAAAGTAGCCCAAATAAATCTGAAGGACTCCAAATGTGCTACAGATAATCTAGTTGTCCTTCTCAGTGAGGAGGATATAGACATAAGCCTAATTCAAGAGCCCTGGGTCAAGCACGATACAGTCGTGGGACTAAACATAAATAATTATAAACTATACTATAAGAGCAAGGTGGGTAAACCGCGGGCGTGTATTCTTATCAAGAACGGTATAAATGCATTCCTTTGCTCTAATTTCAGCACATCAGATACAAAAATGGTTAAGGTGGAGACCACCGGACAGCCAAGTATACTCCTGGCCTCATCATACATGGCCCACGATAGGGACAGTCCGCCAACCGAAATCAAGGGGATAATAGCCAAAAACCCCAGACAAATTATAGTTGTCGGCTGCGATGCGAATGCAAGGCATCCAGTATGGGGTAGTTCTACGGAGAACGACCGAGGTGAGTCTTTACTACACTTCTTATTAAATACTAACTTAAGCATCTGCAATAGAGGTAATACACCCACACCATACACCTCCTGGATGGGAGGAGGTGCTGGATCTAACCCTGTTGTTAGAGAACGACAGCGTGTCTGTAGAAGAGTGGAGAGTATCTGATAGGCCTTCAATGTCTGATCACCGTCTGATCTTCTTTAATCTGCACGAAATTTCCAACACCCCCTCGAAATACAGAAATCCCCACAGGACTATTGGTAAAGATAAAGTAACACACTTAAGCGTAAACTAAGTAAGCTCCCACTAAATACAACTGTCACTACAGTTGAGGACCTTGATAATAGAGTAAATAAACTAAGAGGTTATGAAGAAAGCCTTTGAAAGATCAACTCCAGTTAGTACAGCAAGAAAGAAATCCCCACCCTGGTGGAATGGGGATCTCAGAGCCCAAAGAGACAAAATAAGGAAAATCTACAATGATTTCTTTAGAACTAAAAACTGGGCGCCTTATAAAAACGCCCTAAGATCTTATAAAAAGGAATTGAGAAAATCTAAAACTAAATCCTGGCAATCTTACTGCTCTTCTATAGAGAACTCTAAAGACTCAGCCAGGCTCAGCAAAATCCTATCAAAAGAACACACAAATATCACACTCATTAAGGGAGAAAACGGGGTGTGGACGAACACAGCTAGTGATTCTCTAAACACGTTAGTCAAGTTCCATTTCCCGGGATGTATTCGACATCCACCCACATCAGGGCCAATTGAACCTGGTTCAAATAGCAGTATACTGTTGAACTCGATCGTGAGCAGGGAAAAGATTATTTACGCTATCAACAGCTTCTCTCCCTTCAAATCCCCTGGACCAGATGGCGTAATCCCAGCAATGCTTCAGAGGGTGAAGGAAGAGATAGCACCGTTACTTGAGACTATTTTTAAGGCTACTATTACCTTGTGCTACATTTCTAAAAGTTGGAGAAGGGTAAAAGTCGTGTTCATACCCAAGCCAGGAAGGGAAAACCACGAAATAGCAAAAGACTTTAGACCCCTAAGCCTTACCTCCTTTGTGCTTAAAACAATGGAAAGGCTTCTCGACATTTATATAAGATCGCTGTTAGGTGAAGCGACACTCTCAACAGCACAACATGCATACATCAAAGGCAGATCCACTGAATCTGCTTTACATGAAGTGGTGAGCTTAATAGAAAAATCGTTGCACTTTAAACAATATACAGTATATTTTGCTTAGCTGCACATCCTTCTATGCACTAAAAACTTGTGCACTTAACCGAAAAAGGCACTTAAACGAATTTTCTTTACTACTTCAATGACAAAGGCATCCGAATCCCTATGAAACCAAATAATGGAGAAGCACTTACCACGTAGAAATTACTGCAAGCGAAATTTTTACCGAATGGTATCTAATTATCTATATAACTACATAAATTGATAACAATTTTCGTTGTTCTGCGAGATGAACAAAATAAATAAAAGCTTGTAAAATAAGGTAATTGTAGGGCCAGTGCAGGTAAACGTAATACTTTCTTTGATAATTGATACTAGTTGCACAATTTTTAAGGCAGGTAACGCCAATGTGCAGGTATGTTGAATGCATCTATCGGAGCAGTTTTCTTATAAATGTTAAAAATAATGCCTCTGATGCGCATTTTGGGGTAGGTATCTTAAATGTGCACTTAAGCATAAAGGCAGCAAAGCAAAATATACTGTACTCTGGCGGCATTTCTTGACATCGAGGGCGCATTTAATAACATTGAAGTTGACACCATCATAGACTCTTTGATAGATATTGGTGTTGACGACAGTGTTTGTAGATGATTACGATCGATGCTAGTCAATAGAATCATTCAGGCAACAAATGGGGCTAACTCTATTATACATCATGTGAACAGGGGCACTCCACAGGGCGGAGTGCTCTCACCACTGCTATGGGTGATAGCCCTGAACGGTATATTGCTAGAACTCATAGAGGGGGAGTCAAAGTTGTGGCGTATGCGGATGATGTTGTAATAGCAGCCACAGGTCCATTCCTCTCTACCGTTAGCGAAATCCTTGAAGGAACCCTGGGATGGCTACACGCCTGGGCTACGAGAAGCGGCCTAAATGTGAACCCTGCCAAGACAGAACTTATCCTATTTACAAACAGACACAAACTACCACAATTCAAGCTACCATCGCTAGACGGCAAGGCACTCTCACTGTCCCCCAGCGCAAAGTATCTTGGAGTCGTGCTGGATAACAAACTTAACTGGAAAACCAGTGTCGAATTCCGTAGACAGAAGGCCTACATAGCATACTACACTTGCAAGAGAATCTTCAGTAGAAACTGGGGACTAAATCCTAAACTTGTGATGTGGATGTATACCGCGATCATAAGACCAATTCTAACATACGGCGCCTTGGTTTGGTGGCCCGGCCTAAGCAGACAATATAATGTCAGCAAGCTAAGAAGCATACAAAGGGCAGCAAGCGCAGGAGTAACAGGGGCACTAAGATCCTGCCCGGCAGAAGCTTTAAACGCCATCCTCAATTTAATTCCTATTGATCTCCACCTGAAAGAAGTGGCTATGAAATCGGCGGTCAGACTCAGAGAGTCGGGCCTTTGGAGGACTAGACACTTCGGACATGGGTTGATCATAAATCAAATGCAATTAAATAGGACGACAGATTATATGGTAGGCAATTTGGACTTCAGCTGTAACGTGCAAGTGCTATTCCCATCCAGAAGGGACTGGAGAAGAGACCGAGTGGCCGACCGAGAAAATATCTCTCTATACACCGATGGATCCAAGATGGATTGCGGTGTGGGAGCAGGTGTCTACTCCAAGGAACTCGGCGTGGCTCTGTCTCTACGGTTGGGAAATAATACAAGCATCTTTCGAGCGGAAGTCCTAGGGATCCTAGAAGCCTGCAAAATCCTAGGCAATAGAGTTGGACACAGGAGTAAAGCAACAATATACTCTGACAGCCAGACGGCGCTATTGGCAATAGCGTCACCGGTTACCAAATCTAAGCTAGTTGGGGAATGCAAAGTAATATTGCGGTCAGTGTCTCAGTCAAATACCGTCTCTCTTGTCTGGGTTCCCGGACATAGGAACATAGAAGGCAATGAGAAGGCGGATGAGTTGGCGAAGGCAGGAGCCGGTTTGGATGAATCCCAGGCGGTAGCACTGGGTTGCCCTCTTGGAGTAGTCCAAGGAGAGATTACTACGCATTTCCTTGAACTGGCTAGACGAAGGGGGTCAGATATACAGACTTGTATGATAGCGAGAAAACTATGGCCTGACT